CTTTCTCTCAATTTAGTCATAACTTATCAAGCTCTAATGGTGTTTGAGACATAGTTCTAAAGATTTTATGTACTAACTGATTAATTCTCTCAACAATCCTAGGACAGAGAATAACTTATTTAAGATTACACAGTACAGGGGCTGGGGAGATGGCTCAGTAGAATAATCGCTTCCCTGGCAAGTGCAAGGGCCTGAGTTCAATCCCCGGTTCTACACACACACGCACACACACACACACACACACAAATTACACAGTACAGAGCTAGTTAAACACAGAATGGTTCCAAAAAGCCTGTCAGCTTGCTAACTACTCCAGCACTCAAGTCAAGTTCTGACACCTTCTTGAAATTCTCATCTGCTTAGCAATTATTCCTGCCTCTTAAGCCCTTAATTAAACCACTTTTACCATTTATCATAGGAACTCAATTATTTATCCTTGTGCACATATTCAATCTCTTCTGAAAAGAAGGTCATAGCTTGTATTTTTATGGCATTACTTGGAAACAATTTAATAAATACCTAGTACACAGCAATGCTTATTACTGAAACTATAATAGTATTTGATAGTTACTGAAGATACACAGAAAACACTGAGCTAAGTGCTTTACATGGATTCATGAAATTTTCGGGGCCGGGGAGATGGCTCAGTAGAATAAGCACAAGGGTCTGAGTTCAATCCCTGGCTCAAAAAAAAAAAATCATAACTTTGAAGTATTAATCTTATTGCTTTCCTATTTTATAGATGAGGAAACTGAGGCTTAGAAGAACTACACATTCTGTGTAACATCACAAAGTGATAGTGGTAAAATTTCAATTCCAATATTAAGAGTCAAAGCAATACACTTGATCCCCACCTGACCACAAAACCCTTTGAAAAGAGGCGTAGGTCCCAACACCACATCTTGCCTTACTTAGCAGTACTTTTGCATCACTGAACACCAAGGATTCAGAATTAGAGGGGCAGCTGCTACCTCAGAAGCCCACAGTCCTTAAGGACTTCAGGACAAATTTGTATCAGTGGCAGAGTCCCCACTGTTAGAATTTAAAGTTTCACCTTAGGATTTAGAGGGAAAAAAATTTAAAACTCCTTAAACATTCTCTGCACACCTTCCTTTCTTCCTGAGGCCCGCTCACCCCCTGTACCCTGGAATTCATCTCTTGGTCACTGCACTGTAGAGTAGAATGGTACCATTAATCTTAGTAATTGTTGAGGTATCCGAACTTAAACTAGAGACAATCTGAACTCAAGGGTCTACTTGATGAGCTCCACAACTATAATAAAATATAAGTAATGAAGGAGAGTTGGGAAAGGGCTGTGCCAGAAAGCAGAGAAAAAGGCAATTAAAGTCACACTGTAAAGCGAGGACGAAACGAAAGCTCAATAAAAGCAGGAATACAGCTACAAACAGAACAGGCCAGAATCAATTTACTGGAGGGACACACAAATTAAAGCACTGAAATCTAATACATCTTATGAACTTTGACCTGTTTATCTATTTTTGTAGTGCTGGAGGCTGAATCCAGGGCCTCAGGTGTTCTAGGCAAGCATTCTACCAGTGAGCTACATCCTCATCCCTTTTTATTCTGAGAAAGGGTCTCATTAATTTATCCAGGCTGACCTCAAACTTTAGATTTTCCTGACTCTGCCTCTTGATAATCTGGGATTACAGGCCTGAATCACCACACTCACCTCATTTTTTTCCTAATCTCTAATGAAAACAGAAAAATATGTATATGAAACATTCACTGAGAAATCTTTAGGAACAAAATATAAGTTAGGGTTTTTTGTTTGTTTGTTTTTGTTTTCCTGAGAAACCATTCATTTTAGAATATCAGAGCTTGCTGGAAAGGGTCCTTAAAATATCATCTGATCCCACCCATTCATTTTGCAGTTAAAGTAAACACAGAAAGATTGAATAACTTTAATGTGCCCCAGGTTATGCAGCTAATTAGCTACAACAGTTGTGAATTTCATTCTAGTGTCTGTTCAACCTTACCAGAAGTTCCAGAGATGATGTTTTCCTCCTTTTTCTCTACCCTTTACAATAACCATTAAATTAATTTTTGTATAAGCATTTCAGAATCCTCGTATTAGTCATAGTTCACTCAGAAGAAAGTAATAAAATAACCTTGATTATCTAGAACAACACAAGCAATTATTTTATTTTTTTATCCTCAGGTTCAGCAATCTTAATTGGGTTTTGGTTCCTACCACAAGGAAATTCAAACATTTCCCCCAAAAGGGAAAGATCTCCAGACGCTGACCAAATTCAAGCCAGAATGATAAACTACAATCTGTCTGAGAAGGAATCAGGCTTAAGACCCTCAAAGCAGCACAACTGCCACTGTCACTTCTTTCCCTGCTTTTTTTTTTTTTTTTTTTTTTTTGGCAGAACCAGGCATTGAACGCAGGCCCTTGCGCTTGCCAGGCAAGCACTTATTCTACTGAGCCATCTCCCTGGCCCCTTCTCCGCTATTTATATGCTCCTTACTAACCCTGGGCTCCTATCTTTCTGACAAGAAATCAAATAAAATAAAGACAGAAAATAGATTTGACAATCTACCTGTATATACAGTACCTAGACCTAAAAATTATAGTATCTGCCTATAAGACTGATAGAAGACTTTTCTAGAAGGGAAAAAGGAAATGTCCTATTTTGCTTCAGGAACATTTCTTAATTTTGATATGCATGAAGTTCACTACAGATTAGTACTAATTTCTTGTTTTAACACATTAATCCTATTAGGACAGGTACAGTGGAAAGAAGGGGGACAAAAAGATAAAAACAAACATTATAAAATTAGAAAAAAATAGAATTGTTTACTTAAGAAGTAAAGAAAGAGGCAAACAATGACCAGAAAGAATAACAGTCTTTCACAACAGCTATGGAGGGAAGCTGGGAAAGATGGATGCTGGTGTACAGCTGCTACAGACAGCCTATTTAAATATATTTTCTTTCAAGACAAGTGGAAAACTTAGAGCTCGAGTTTAGATAGCAATATAGATCTGGGGCCTAAAAACAAGTGGCAGAGTACTGCAATGATTGAAGTTTTAGAGAAAAGTTAACAAAAATAACATGCAGACAGCTGCATTCCTCAGCCAAGGCACATCCAAGACGACCTAACACTTCAGATGAATAGTTCCTTACTCCACAGAGATAATAGAGTATTTGGACTAACTTATTCTAATCAGAAGCTTAAAGATTAATCTTTGTTGGGCCGGGGAGATAGCTCAGTTGAATAAGCACTTGCCTGGCAAGTGCAAGGGCCTGAGTTCAATCCCCGGTTCCACAAAAAAATATCTTTCTTTTCCAGGACATAAACTGAAATTAAGAATCTGAAGACAAAAATAATTTCATAATTACCATTAATCTAAAGTCAAATATCTGAGATAAAATAGTGATTTTAAGATTTAACAATTTTTTTTGGAAACAAAAATATCATGTATGCCAATACTACTGTGACTTTATAGTATTTGTGATAATTTCATAGTTTTAAAAAGCACTTTAGGGCTGGCCAGATAGCTCAGTGGATTAAAGCACCTGTTTAGGCAGATGCAGGAACCAGGATTGCCCCCAGGGAACGCTGAGACAAGATTGAAACTGTGCATGGTGGAACTTGCTTATAGTCCCAGCGCTTGGGAGGCTGTAAACAGGAGGATCACTATGAATTGGATCTGTGTAATGAGATCCTGTAGACCCTGTACTAAGTACATTTTTTTAAAAAAGCATTTTAAAATAATTAAAAATAAAAAGTGCTTTAAATTGCAAATGGGTGCTGGCCAGATAGCTCAGTGGATGGAAGTCCCTGCTTAAGCAGAGCGCAGGGGCTGTGCCAATCCCACCCCCAGGGCACACTGAGACTGAGCGTGGTGGTGTGTGCCTGTAATCCCAGCTCTTGTAAGGCTGAAAACAGGAGGATCACTAGGAGTCCGATCTACATTGTGAGACCCTATAGACCCTGTAGACCCTTTACTAAATGCTAAAAAAAAAAAAACCCGAAAATCCTCAAATGGTGCTGCATTGTGATCCCAACACTCTGGGCAGGAAGACTGCAAATTCAATTCTATCCTGAGCAACTTGGTGACTTTGCAAGATCCTATCTTAAAAATAAAAAAATTTAAAAGGTGGAGGTATGGCTCAATTCAAAAGATCTGGGTTCAACCTCTACTACTGTCCCCCCACCCAAAGGCACCTCAGCCAAGATGTCGGAGATGTATGAGCCTGGGGAATGTGCATGTTGAGATTCCTTAAAGATGTGACAGCATAACATGGAGGTTCTTTACAATCTGTTCTCCACTGCTATATAAGAGGGGAACTGTCATAATAAGAAAGCACTGCCTAAGATGTTTTCATTCTATCCAGGTGAGGATAACAATGCAGAATAAAATTCTAGCACACAGGGGGCCAGGGAGATGGCTCAGTAGAATAAGCACTTCCCTGGCAAGTACATGGGCCTGAGTTCAATCCCCGTTTCCACCAAAAAAAAAAAAAATCTAGCACACAAATACTTTCAAATAATGTTTTCCTCATATTCAACAACCAATAAAATGCATCGTATAGAAGACAGACAAGGCCTAGTCTGTCATTTCAGAGGAATGTGGACTTGCTCACTAAATCATAAAAGTCCTCTGATCTGTGTTGATTATCTTAAGACATCTGTCATTTTTCTCCTTCATGAATTTGTTTTGTTTTTATTTTTGTTTTGTCTTTTTGAGACAGGGTTACCCTATGCAGTTCAAGTGGGCGTTGAACTTTGTAACTCAAGCTGGCTTCAAATTTCCAGCAATCCTCCTCCCTCAGCCTCACAAGTACTAGGATTACAGGTGTGCCCCTACATTCTGCCTAATGAATGTATGTTTGTGTTGAAAAATATACAAGCTATGGGGGCCGGGGAGATGGCTCAGTGGAATAAGCGCTTTCCTGGCAAGCACAAGGGCCTGAGTTCAATCCCCAGTTCCGACAAAAAAAAAAAAAAAAGAAAGAAAAATATACAAGCCAGTGCTTGCTTAGACAGCACATATACTAAAATTGGAATGATACAGAGAAGATTTGCATGGCCCCTGCTCAAGGACATGCAAATTTGTGAAGTGCTCCATATTAAAAAAAAATAACAATAACATATGCCATATAGAAGTATGGTTTTAATTAATAAAGGCAAAATCTTTATTTTAAATATCAGTGATTATATATTAATGTGTATGGCTAACCCTGTAATTACTTCAAACATCTTCTACCTTAGTAAAATAAAAAATAACTGTTTTTCTTATATGCAAAAAGTTCTTCTAAAAAATCAATATTCTGAAATTATACCTAATCCTAATTGTAATAAACACACATTAAAACAAAACCAGGCATGGTAGCACACACCTATAATCCCAGCAGTTGGAAAGCTGAGGCAGGAGGATCTGGAATCCAAGGCTAGCCTGGGTTATAAGTAAGGGGAATTTGAGTTGTACAGCAAGATTCTGTCTCAAAAAGCCCAAAATCATCATCATCATCATCATCATCATCATCATCATCATCATCATCATCATCATCGGGCCAGGGAGATAGCTCAGCAGTCTAAGAGCCTGTCTGGTAAGCGCAAGGACTCAGGTTCAATCCCAGTACTGCATGCCATGCCAGCTGTGCCAGCCACTGAAACCAGGTATGGTGGCACATGCCTATAATCCCAGCACTGGGGGGGTTAAAACATGAGGATCACTATGAGTCCAAGCTGCATAGCGAGACCCTATACCAAATAAATAAATAAATCTTTTTAAAATAATATTTTTCAAGTAAAAATTTTATGAAGCAAAGTAAAGAGGAAGATTATTTTTAAAAACAATTTAATTGCTTAAATTGTGATTTAAATGGATTTTAACTTAAATGAAGTCACTTTACTGAGACTGTGTTGGAGCCAGGGAAATAGCTCAGTAGAATAAGCACTTGCCTAGTAAGCACAAGGTCAAACCCTGTACAAGCAACACCCTGTACAGCAAAAAATAAAATAAAATAAAATAAAAATCTGAGACTATGGTGTATTGAATTCAACAAGAGAGTGGCATATTCGTCACTTGGAAATCATGAATAATTTATGCAGCTTGCAAGCACCAACCTTCCCTCCTGTGATAAACAGCACCACCCAAAAATGACAACCAGATTAGTTTCCCTCCTTCCTTTTGCCAAGTAAGTTCTGGGACAGTAAAAACAGTACATGTCCGTGCAAAGCCTATCACACTGGGTGTGCAACTCTTGTAACAGGAGTGACATCACCTTCCATACTAGAAAGCTAGTGGCAGGTGCTGGTCCTATTTCCCAGGTACTGTGTACAGGATGGCCCCTGCTCAAGGATTCTTTAGTCTGCTGAGCTATTTGGCCAGCCCTATAAATTCTTTAAAACTATTTTTGTTGGTCTCAGGTTAACTTATAATTATTCAAGTTCATATACACATGTAAATATAAATACTTAATATTTATATACTAATAATATTATATAAGCCCCCTGCTGAGGGTTCTGTCCTCCATCATTTTCAGGACCCTGAGCTTTCCAACCGACCCTTGTTGTCAGGATAGGTGGGTGAAAAGCAGTGTAACTGTGCATTAGTCAAAAGATAGCAGGCAATCCTCAGGCTCCATCACTGAGTTAAATGATTAGCTAATACCTAGTTGAGGTATTTCACTTTCTTCAGATAACAAGAACATTCTCCTCATCCTGAACATGTTTTAGTGTTCTTCTTTCACCAAAGATTTACATACTCTAAAATACAGATTTTAAATATTCAGCCTAATAAGTCTGAACAATTGTATAAACTAGTGATTCTAGTTACAGTTATACAGAAGTTCCTTGTACAAGTCTTGCATTTAAAAATGATATGAAAAAGAATGAGCGGGGCCGGGGAGATGGCTCAGAGGAATAAGCACTTCCCTGGCAAGCGCAAGGGCCTGAGTTCAATCCCCGGTTCCGCAAAAAAAAAAAAAAAAAAAAAAAAAAGGAAGCATGAGCAATCTTTGGGGGCCCAGCCCTAGCTCAGTTCTTTAAGTGGCTGCTTCCACAATGCTGGCAGCCTCAGTTTGCTGTAGTTGGATCCCCACAACACTCCAGCCATGCAAAAGTGCCCTGAAGGCATTCAAGGAGCAAAACACACACACCAAAAAAAAAAAAAAAATTCCTTAAAAATGATATGAAAAAGAAAGCTACCCAAACAGTACACACTTGAACTTCCAATACCAAATGAAGCTATCAAATAGCTGCACTACCCAAAAAGTTATCTGGAGCCCTTTTCCAGGCAATCACAACCCCTACTCAGAGGCAAGTACTGTCCTGCTTTCTATCATCGCACCTTTTGCCAGTTCTTGTATTCTTCACAAAAGGTATCGTCCTGCTCACACTCATCTACATTTGGCTTCTCCTAATCTGAATAGTATTTCCAGGGGTCCCTCTTATTGTGTGAATCAGTAGTTCATGCCTATTGAGAAGATGCCTGGGGCTGGGGAGATGACTCAGTAGAATAAGCCCTTGCCTGGCAAGCGCAAGGGCCTGAGTTCAATCCCTGATTCTGCAAAAATAAATTTTTTAAAAAAAGAGAAGATGCTATAAACATTTTGTATGTCTTTTCAAGCACATATATTTTATTCTTGGTGTGCCGTGCCCACCCCGCCCCGAAGGCGTGTTGAGGCAGTGATTGAGATGATGTGGTAGCATGCCTGTAATCCCAGCTCTTAGGGAGGCTTAACACAAGAGAATCACTATGAGTCTGAGTCTGATCTATCTAGTGAGACCCTGTAGATCCTGCAGACCCTTACTAAAATACAAAAAAAAAAAAAA